CGGGACCGATCTGAGTGCAGTCGGCGCCGCCGCTTGCTAGGGTGACCTTGGGCAGAACCCCAGGTCTCAGTGCCTGGGATGTGGCGGGTGCGAGAATCAAAGGTGCGTGCTCGATGGTTGGTCAGTGCTCCCTAGAGGTCCGCTCTCTGGTCCCACCGGAAAACAGTGTCCTTGTGATGATGATGATGATGGTGATAATTCAGTAAGAAACTGGCAGCTCTCAATTCCTTCAGCTATTTATTCAAGACCTACAATTCGGTTATTTCCCATATAAGGGGAATCAGTGATACTTGGCTGGGGACTAAAATCAGATATATTCTGAGGTCTTTTTCAGGCATAAAATTTAGCAAAGGAAAGCTTGTTTTAAATTGAGAGATGTAAGTACTACTGAAAATGTGGGTTTTTTTCCCACTTTTAGTTCTACCCATATTCGACTATGAAGCAGCCCTCTGGAATCCTATATGGTTGCTAAATATGATTTCCATTTTGATAATGTGTTGAAATATTCCTCTGAATTATACTTTAGTTTAATCCAAAATATTATTTACTATAATACTGAACCCATTATAGAATTAATCTTTAAGGAGAGGTGGTTATTGATTAGGAAGTGTATTTCGTTTATTTGTCTTTTGGTTGTTTTTGCACTTAGACTTTTAGAATTGTGCTTGTGTTTTTTGGCAAAGACTTTTGGGGGGTTAGGCATAATTTTGAAATGATATGGGCATTGCAGAGTCAACAATTTTGATAGGGTAGAGGAGGAACAATTTTAAACTACTAAAAATAATACAGAATTAGAAAGTTGTCTTTATTTTTTCTTGATGATGTAGTCTTCCGTTGATTTTTTTCCAAGGTCTTGGCTTTTAGTCACATGTAATTATTGCTTAGAATTACTTATCTTTCAGAATAGATTGTTTTACCTGAACATTTCTTGAATTGGTTCAGTTATTTTAATCCATTTCAGGGTATTGGAAGGAACAAAGGCTAGAAAGTGAGACTAAGTTGAGTCTTGCCCATGTGATCTTAATCTGAAATTTCTCAACCTTTATTTTCTACTCTATAAAATGGGGATAATAATTATCACCATTTAAGTATTTTTGAGAAATGATGTAATGTCTGCAAAACATGTGTTTGCCCTTCAACTCTCAACAAAAGTTGGTTCTCATCTGAGCTTTTGAACAAGATGCAGAGTAAAGATATCTATTTCTGAAGTTATTTATGATTAAAAAATTGAGGAAAACCAAAGTAGAAATAGAGAAGCACAAAAATATGACTGCTGACTATTAATCTTAGATAAAATCTGAGGAAACATTGGTTCTTTTTCTAAGAGTTATACAGAGTAAATATTCAAAGGTTTTAACATACTATTTTGTGTAGTATTTATTGTTATTGAATCACCCTTTAAGCATTAGACTAAATTCCCATACAAGAAATTTTTTTAATGTTATGGAAGGCTAAATATTAATTGCTGGAAATAACACATTGCTGATTCTAAATTTTTGAGATCTTTAAAAAATTTTTTGTGGTATAGGGGATTGAACCCAGGGCCTTGTACTTACAAGGCAAACACTCTTTCAACTGAGCTATATCCCCAGCTCTTTGAGATTTCTTTTTATCACTAACATGGATATCTAGACAAGCAACAAGAATATGTTTTTGTGTACTGGAATGTTACATGATCCAGTATCTTTAGGCCTTCATGTCTTTGCCTCTGTGTTTCTAGCACATCATGATCTGCCTCTATTAAAAAGAATAGAATTCTGACAAAAGGTGCGACCTAGTCAGGTTCCTCAACTTGGGGATGTCTCTCCCTCCCCACCACTGCCTGACTGTATGTTAAAGTATGTGGCTCCAAACTAATCACCTGTATGGCTATCCTCCGGACCTGCATGGCTATACCTGTATGCTTCAGAGAATACTTGAAAGTCAGTTGCCCAGTGTTTATTAAAAGCGTAGTTGGTGCTATCTATGGTAAGTGACGAGGAGTAGATAAAGGCAGTAGGGCAGAGTGCCATGACTGATTCTTGGTGGGTGTAAGAACAGGGACCAGATATGCACATGTGGACACTAGCTATCTATTGCTATGGAACCTGACTAGGTTGCACCTTTAGTCAGAATTATTTTTTTTTAATAGATGTAGATCATGATGTGCCAGGAACATGGAGGCAAATGCATGAAAGGCCTCAAAATTCTAGGATCATGTAACATTCCAGCCTTCCTACCTCAGGAGTTTGTCAGCAAGGCCATCACCAGATAAGGCCCCTAGATCTTGCACCCCTGTAATTGTGAGCCAAAATAAACTCTTTTCTTGAATATTTCATCATAGTAATTAAAATGGATTACCTACCACTAGGGGAAAAGACATTATTAGTTAAACAGATGTCATTGCTTTGCTTGTTATGTGCAAGTTACAAAATAGAGTGGATTGAGCTGATGAAACAGTAGCCCAGTCATGTTGTTAGCATTAGATAAGAACTAGATTTTGCAAAATAAAAATGAATAGTTTTTGGCAGTCAGTATCTGTGTCAAAGTCTAAGCTTTACAGATTCTAAGGACATGTGCCTGTAGTTGGTCACATGATAGTGAACAGGTGGACTTGCACAGGACTAAGGAACTAAGGGGTGTTGCAAAGGAAGGGGAGAGGAAGAAATAGGGAAGGTTAAACAATGGATACCAGTTACATTGGATAGGAGGAAGGAGTTTGGTGTACCATTGCACAGCAGGGTGGACTATAGGTAACAGATGGGTACTGGATGACGTCATGCAAGAAAAGATCTTGAATATTTTCACCATAAGTTACAAATGTTTCAGGAGGTAGATATATTTGCCCAGATTTAAACATTACACAATGTACACATGGGGGAAAACATCACATCTGCATTAATGTGTAATTTTTGTGTTTCTTATTTGAACTAATAATATGAAATAAAAAGGTAGCAAGTGATAGAGGAATGGTATGAAAGGTATGAAAAGAGGTAGTGGGAAGGTAATGATTTATATGGCCTCCAAGATTTTGTTTTTAAGTATGTTTTAGTTGTAGATGTACACAATATCTTCATTTATTTATATTTTATGTGGTGCTGAGGATTGAAACCAGTGTCTCACATGTACAAGGCAGGCGCTCTACCACTGAGCCACAACCCCAGGCCCCTCCAAGGTTTTAATAAGAAATTTTTTTCACATGGAACATAGTGAATGCCTCAGTTCAGTGTCTAGAGGTGTCTGGATGTGTATGTGTCAAAATCACCTGTTCTTTCCAAGGAGGAAGCTTTCCTTGAGGAAGGAATCACATATACACATGACCTACTTTCTCAAAGTCATATAATATCTTACTAAGTAATTCTTTTCAGAAGAACAAATTAGGAAGTAAAATTTGGTTTGTCAAAGTGTGTGCATGAAAACTAGATTTGTTAATTTGTTTGAAAATTTTTGTCTGTTATTATTTGGTTCTGCTATTCATCCGGAGAATTTCTTAAATTCTTTTATGAAAACTTAAACTTTAAAAAACATCAATTTAATTTTAAGACAGTAAGACACAAGAGAAAAAAACCATAATAATAGTCTCTGTATTGTTTATTATTCTTAAATGGCTCATAGTTTTATATATACATATAGAGGGGGGAGAGGGAGAAGATATGCTTCTATGATGTTTCTAAATTGTCAGTTTGAGGCCTTTTCAATTTCCAAAAATAGAGGGGTTTTGTTTGTTTGTTTGTTTGTTTTTGGTACTGGAGGTTGTACCCAGGGGCACTTTACCACTGAGGTATATCCCAGCCTTTTTTATTTTTTATTTTGAGAACAAGTTCTTGCTAAGTTACTGAGGCTGTCCTTAAACTTTCCATCCTCCTGTCTCAGCCTCCCTAGCCACTAGGGTTAAAGGTGTACACCACCATACCCGGTTCCAAAAAGTAGAGTTTTAAGAAACAAGGTGAAATATATTGTTAATTTTTTATCTAAGTGAATGAACATTAATGGTTTGGGGTTGTAGCTCAGGGGTTGAGCACTTGCCTCACATGTGTGAAGCAGTCATCACCACATTAAATAAATAAATAGATTATAATATTGGGACTATCCACAACTAAAAAATATATACATTTTAAGAAAGAATGTACATTTATATCTGATAGGGACACATTTCCTTTCATCTTGGGCTTTAAGATGACGTCATATGAGGTGATTTTTGTTTCACTCAGTTTATTGTTAGCAATTCAAATTTTCCACCTAATCAAGTTATTGCATTTATCTTAATAGATATTAACAGTTAATTTTTACTTTTACTTATCCTGATAATAAGGTGATATAAGCACTTCAAATACCATAATTATCTCATTTATTTTTATGTTCTTCTATGAGAATAGCTATGACATGGTACAGAGTCCAAACCCTTTTTTTTCCCAAGGTCTATAATAATATTTGTAACATTGTTGCTATTTGAGTAACATTCATTTGTAAATGCTTTGTTTTGTCAAAACTTTCTGTTTAGGCCTGTTGAAGTAAGTTGGGATGTGTTCTCACTGTGTGTCCAGTGACAGACTGATTGTTGCATGCAGATTGCTTGTTTCTGGAAAACAGCTTCTGTATCTGAATTTATTTGACTTTATTATTTACTTTTAAGGCAGAAAATAATTCATTAAGGTAAAAATAAGTTTTCTCTGAAATTTTCAGAGAAATTATGTAAGCACACTTATGTAAGCACATTTTTTTTAAGAATTAAAAAAACACTATTTGTGTGTATATATAGGTATCCACCTCTGATTACTTGTTACTTGTAAGTAGTCTCTGGTGTCTCAGAAAAAATAGTAACTTAGAATGTGTTATATATTTGCTACCAATGTTTTTCTGTTAGAACTTTGCACTTGTTAAACTAAGTTAGGGTTTGTTTTCATTGTTTAAAAATGCCCCTGTTGGTCCAGAGTTCTAGCCACCATCATTTCATGTTTGAAGTTTTTTTTTGTTCTTGTTTGGTTTGGTAGAGGGCTGGTACATAGTTAATATTTTAAAGTAGCTTGGAGCATTGAGTAAATTAGTTACCAGGCAAACCTACTGAAAAGCTTGGCTGTTGGTTAACCCTATAGAATCAACCATTAAACTTGTAAAGAAACCAG